ACGAGCAGCGCAAACGCAATGCCGAGGCAGATGCCACCGATCGCCGAGTCGCTGAGCGAGTGCGACGCGCTTGCGCTTTTGAACACGCCGCTGTCGACCATGTTGACCTGGCCGCACTCGAGCGAGCCACTCGCGACTCCGTACAGCGCTGTTCGGTTCACGTTGAGCACGACGTCCGCGAACGGTTTGACGGCAATGTCGATGGGCGAGTCGAAGTAAAAGTTTGTCTTGCCGCCGACGCATGCTTCCGAGAGCTTCTCGAGCGGGTGGAAGAGCAGCTCCAACGGAAACATGACGAGCACCGACCAAATGTTGTACATGTCGTGGACCGACGACGCCGCCATGGCGCGTTCAAACTGGTCGCGCTTGGAAATTTGGGCAAACGCGACCATGATACACGTGACACTCGTCCCGATGTTGGCGCCCATGATGATAGGAATCAGTAAATACTCTAAAAGGGTGTTCGTGGGTAAAGTCTGCACAGAACCCCCGTTCGCCCCCAACAAACCCCCCACAAGCTCCAATTTCCCAAAATCCCATTTTTCCCCACTTTCACCCACCTCTAAACCCTCAAAACCTCCTTTCTCCCAAAACCCACTCGCCACCCCCAATCTCCCCACTTTTCAGCACACCCAAGAAAAGAAACAACTTTGCGACGAACGATGACTTTTCAGCACACCCAAGAAAAGAAACAACTTTGCGACGAACGATGACCCCCATCGTGCAACCTTCACTCCGTCACCCAAAAGCAACCCGATGCCCCTCAACACCCACAATCCTTAAAATTTTCAAAAAAGAAGCTCTAAAAACAAAATAGGGTAAGCCTACAAAAACCTAAGAAAACCTACGAAAACCTACGAAAACCACATAGATGTAAAAAGCCACCAAATGCCACTCATCCACAGCAATTCAGAGAGCAACTCAGAGAGCAATTCAATTTTGTGATGAACATGATATAAAAATCTTATAGTATATAAACCAGATTAGACTTTAAACTAAAATGGATTACAAGCAAACACAATTCAAGCGCAAGTTTAATGATCTTGAATCGCCTGTTCGTAAAGGGGAATCAGTTATCCCAATGAAGATTACGAAGTACTGCAACAGCTACCACTTTTACAGTCTCGAATATGATAACCAATTCAGTGTACAAGTTGGACATGAATATTACTACATTCCGTATGGATACTCATCTCGACATTGTGAGGCGAATAACTTCGTTAACTCGGATCTTGATGATAGCT